TATTTTAAAAAAAGAATCGAGATCTGTTCCAGTTCATCGATCGCTCGCGGATCAATTCTTACAAAAAAATCGATACGAATCGACAATATTCGATCATTCCAAAGATTTTTCGATCGAGATTGCAAATTTTAATTCCGTTTGATAAGATTTTAAAAAAGGGATCGAGATCTGTTAATCCATCCTCTCGTACTTGGCTTTCAGTTCATCGATCAATTCTTACAAAGAGATAAAATCGATACAAATCGACGATATTCAATCGTTTCAAAAGATTTTTCGATCGAGATTGCGCAAATTTTAATTTCGTTTGAAAAGATTTTAAAAAAGGATCGAGATCTGTTCCAGTTCATCGATCGCTCATAGATCAACTCTTACAAAGAGATAAAATCGATCTTTCGATAAATCGACGATTTTCGATCGTTCCAAAAGATTTTTCGATCGAGATTGCGCAAATTTTAATTTCGTTTGAAAAGATTTCAAAAAAGGATCGAGATCTGTTCCAGTTTATCGATCGCTTGCAGATCAATTCTTATAAAAAAAATAAAATCGATATAAATCGACGATTTTCGATTGTTCCAAAAGATTTTTCGATCGAGATTGCAAATTTTAATTCCGTTTGATAAGATTTTAAAAAAAGGATCGAGATCTATTAATCCATCCTCTCGTACTTGGCTTTCAGTTATTGATCAATTCTTACAAAGAGATAAAATCGATACAAATCGACGATTTTCGATCGTTCTAAAAGATTTTTCGATCGAGATTTTAATTTCGTTTGAAAAGATTTTAAAAAAGAGATTGAAATCTGTTCCAGGTCATCGATCGCTCATGGACCAACTCTTACAAAGAGATAAAATCGATTTTTCGATACAAATCAATAATATTCGTCCAAAAGATTTTTCGATCGTTAATCCATCCTCTCGTACTCTCGTACGACTTCCAATTCATCGATCGCTCGCGGATCAATTCTTACAAAAAAATAAAATCGATACACAGAGAGATAAAGAGATTACAAAGAGATAAAATCGATTTTTTGATATGAATCGACGATATTC